TCCATCCAATCATTTTATGATAGACATTTAATGAGGAGAATACGGCATCAAAAATGTCTAACCCTTACACTTTAACTGTAAGAATATACATGCCCCACATCAGGAGCCGTTGAATTAGTGCATTTTACGCCCAAAGAAAAGTCAACATTTTTTTCGCCTCGCTACGTTCGGCAAAAGATTCCATACTTCGCCCCAACTTTCCTAAATCCTGGATCCGCCGCTGATCTTGATACATAGGAAAATGAATCTTAAAAAGTTAATTCTATAAATTCAATTGTGAAAAAAAATTCACAATACCGTGCATTAACCCGGAGAAAAGTTACCACGTTGAAACCCTTATATAGAATGTATGATATCCCGTAGGTTTATAGTGCAACTGAAAACAAAAAATCATTTTGATGTTAACAGTTTACTTGTCACATGTCTTTTCTGTGACTCATCAACCGCCCATCAACAAATATTACTTGATATTCAGTGAAATGATAATATGCATGCAGAGTGTTAACAATTATTGTAAATTAAAAAGCAGAGCAGCCTTAAATTCTAATAGTTTTATGATAATATGCATGCAGAGTGTTAACAATTATTGTAAATTAAAAAGCAGAGCATCCTTAAATTCTAAAAGTTTTGCCAAAGCCGATTCATAGTTTTACCGATGCAAGGATATATTGAGTTGAAATGGCCTAGCGGTAGTCTGATCACTTCGAATGCAACACGCTTAATCAAATTTCGTATTAAATGCAAATTTTCTTTATCTTTGCGGAGCATTCATAAAGTATTTAAAACTAAAATAAGAACTATAATAGCTTTCTGAATAGCTCAGATTCAAAACAGTGAGAATAAGCTCCTAGCTGCCGACATATACATCTGGACAAGAATGTATTTTTGGTATTTTTTTTGAAAGAAAAGTTGCATATGTAAGCTATCTATTTATAATCTTCAACTCTATCAGGAGTTTCAAGAAAAGGGGGCGGGGGGGGGGGGGGGCTGGGGGCTGGGGGGGGGGGGGGGGGGGGTGGAGGGGTCGATTGAAGTCTAACTGTAAATATAAAAAAGATCGAGATGTGGTATGATTGCCAATGTGAAAACTCTCCAGAAGAGACCAAATGACACAGAAATTAAGAACTATAGGTCACCGTACGGCCTTCAACAATGAGCAAAACCCATACCGTAATTCTCTTCTATATTCATTATAATTTCATAAAATTATACCAATAAAACCTGTTTAAGACAGACTTGGTCATCACTGCGGCTCAAGTGATATCGGTGACGAATATCAGTATATCATGACTTGTAAAGCGTTGGATGTAGCTATAGAGAGACAGACAGGACTCTTTATAGTTATCGTATATGCACACAGGACGAATGTTTGTATTCGTTGCAAGCTGTTTATTTCAGTGGTAAATTTTGGTAGATTTTAAAAACGAACTTCGAGAGATATTTATCATTTAAAACAATAAGGGCACGTGTCACTGATTACACAATTACTCAGCCGTAAATTATCCAATTAACAAAACTGATTGGATTATCCTAATTGCTTATGAAAATCATGTTATTAAAACAGTGTTTTGAATAAAATTAGATTATACACGTTATACGATACTTTGAAGTTGTTTAGAAATTGTTTCATGTTGTTAAATTTACTTTATGCGTTGTGCATTTTTACGATTGTGAAGAAAAAATAAAAAAACTCACTTTCACTGCATTTTAATACAGTTTCTCTTATGATCTTTGCCTGGTATATATTTCTTGCATGTAGAGATATTTCTAGTATCACACTGCACGCATGGAGTGTGATACGAAAATTTTTTACGCAAAACTTAATTTCGATTATTAGAAAAATACCCAAATATGATGAATGACAGAAACTGAGAGGAAAACGGGGATAGATTCAATTTCAGAATTGATCTAAATACCGTCAAGGCTTGTAATACTGGAGCCGTATGCATCAAGCTACTTAAGTTAAGGTTTGTTCCAAACGGACGGATTTGTTTACATGTCCTATGATAAATTACGATACAAAACAAAATCTTGCTTCATGAAAATAAAAGGGAAATGTTTTGGAGAAATTCCTTCATCAAATTTTATTTCCCTTTTCAAACTCGTTCGAAGAATTTATTACTGGGCATGAGAACGAGCTCTAATTGTCGAGCCTGCGACTTTTGTCGCAGAAAGCTCGACATAGGGATAGCGATCCGGCGGCGGCGGCGGCGGCGGCTACGGCGGCGGCGGCGGCGGCGTTAGCTAACTTCTTAAAAGCTTTATATTTTAGAAGATGGAAGACCTGGATGCTTCATACTTTGTATATGGATGCCTCATGTTACAAAGTTTCAGTCAGTCACATGTCCAATGTCCTTGACCTCATTTTCATGGTTCAGTGACTACTTGAAAAAAAAGTTCAGATTTTTTGTAATGTTAAATTCTCTCTTATTATAAGTAATAGGATAACTATATTTGGTATGTGCGTACCTTGCAAGGTCCTCATGCCCGTCAAACAGTTTTCACTTGACCTCGACCTCATTTCATGGATCAGTGAACAAGGTTAAGTTTTCGTGGTCAAGTCCATATCTCAGATACTATAAGCAATAGGTCTAGTATATTCGGTGTATGGAAGGACTGTAAGGTGTACATGTCCAACTGGCAGGTGTCATCTGACCTTGACCTCATTTTCATGGTTCAGTGGTTATAGTTAAGTTTTTGTGTTTTGGTCTGTTTTTCTTATACTGTATGCAATAGGTCTACTATATTTGGTGTATGGAATGATTGTAAGGTGTACATGTCTAGCTGGCAGGTGTCATCTTACCTTGACCTCATTTTCATGGTTCAGTGGTCAAAGTTAAGTTTTTGAGTTTTGGTCTTTTTTTCTAATACTATATGCAATAGTTCAACTATATTTGGTGTATGGAAATATTTTATGATCTATATGTCAGTCACGCAGGTTTTATTTGACCTTGACCTCATTTTCAAGGTTCATTGCTCAGTGTTAAGTTTTTGTGTTTTCGTCTGTTTTTCTTAAACTATAAGCAATAGGTCAACTATATTTGTTGTATGGAAGAATTGTTAGCTGTACATGCCTGCCTAGCATGGTTCATCTGACCTTGACCTCATTTTCATGGTTCATTGGTCAATGTTCAGTTTACTTGGTTAATGTTAAGTTTATGTGACAGTTGTAATAAAGCTTTATATTTAGGACTATCAACATAATATCAATGATTAGTAAAGAAGGCGAGACATTTCAGCGTGTGCACTCTTGTTTTAAATGGGGGAATGAATCTGAAATTTGAAATTAGATCGTATATATATTTTTTTCACAAATAGGCTATCGCAATAAAGATAAAAGCGTAATAAAATAACTATTTCAGAATTTTACTCGTTCATGAAATGTATTACTGGACAAGAATGAGTTTTAATGGCGAAATATATATATTTTTTAAAAAAAAATTTGCATATGTAAGCTGTCTATTTATAATGTTCAACTCTATCAGGAGTTTCAAGAAAAAATGGGGGAAAAAACGATTAAGACTATGCAAAAACAATCTAACTTGTTAAAGCCTACTTTGGTATTCTATACATCAAAAATCGTGATTCTTTTGTAGATTTAGAACTTTGAACACAAAAATGTCTAATGAAATTGGTAGATGGCAAAATAATCAGAGAGAACACTTTATTTATACTTTATGTAATTCCGGTGATATTGAGGACGATTTTCATTATGTTTTAGAATGTTCGGCAATAGGCAAAAGTAGACAAACGCTGTTAAAACGGGATTTTGATCCCAAAGGACGCTACATTTTGTAATGAATTCGATCTATTTCTTTTAACGTTTTCAAATGAAATAAATTGAATGGAAAATTTTCCGACATTGTGATGATTTCTCAATTGGCTTCAATTACTACAAAGTTGAAACAAAATGAAAAGTTTATTTAACATTTTTGCAAAAACAATAATATGTTTATTATTTTTCAAAGGAACCCTTTTTTGTTTGCTTACCGAGTTTACTTGTATGTGTTTATTACCATCACTAATCACAGTGACATACATGACATACCTACTTATAAAAAATCAAACGACCTAATCAACACGATGATTGGTATTGAATATGATCATCTGTCGTGCATAACAAATAAAAAAAAACGTCGCGTGCCGATAAAAACTTCTCAAATATGGAATTGATTTTATCAAAATAAAAAGTATAAGATCAATTTTAAATAATCTATCGAATGCATACCCTTAACGCTATCTAAAACATCTATTACATGTCCTGAGTGCACTTTTGATGTCCTGAGCGGTTTTTAGACGTACCGCATTTTTACTGGAATATTGCTGTAAATTTTATATCAAAAGAAACACTATTAGATTCTATACTATATTCATACAAAATTAATGGTTTATTAACTTCAGACTCTGAATTGAGACAGCACTATCGATCATCTTATATAAAAATAATCTAAGTTTCTACAAATAATACAGGTAAATCGGTCCTACAAGCTAAGTGAAGTCAAGTTTTCACCTATGTGCATGTTCTCTATATAGGTATTTGTCATTGTAAATATATATTTTCTCTGTAACTATGAAATGTAGATTTATGAGATTAAAGTTAATTCGTTCATTAGAGTTTTTTTTTTTAGAATATCTGATAAAATATATGCACACAAACACAAGGAAATAGTTACAACAACACAGAGTTTATTAATTAGGGTTGACATCTGCTGACAGGTAAGTGTTTGATAATTCCAGAGAATTTATGACAATATCCTGCACCCCTTGGCTTGCCATGCACTCAAACAGAGGTATGGCTTCCCTGACCGAAGCCCCCCTCATATATAAACAATAATTTTTAAACGTGATTATTTCATTAATCATGGATACTAGCTTCAGTCAACCAGGTTCTCAACCAACTCATTTTAATCGCGCTATATGTACTATTGGATGTTTATGTTGTGCCAAACTGATCGCCTACAACGAGGCATGTAGCTGTTGGAAACCTGTCCCTACAGCAACAATATCAACACAAACAGATCCAGGCATTAGCTACGGATACAGTTCCGACAGTTACTTCACCAGGGGCAATGTTGCCCATTCCTTGCTTCATGTGAGTACACCATATAATATATAATTGTAACTTAAGTTTAAGAAGATATATCTGAAATAACTGGTATTTATAGATATGTGGTATGCATGCCAAAGATACAAGTCTCAATCGAAGTCAATGGTTTGGCCTATAATTAAATTGGCATTTTTTTCTTTCTTTTCATGTACATGTTTTTATGTCGTTCATAAAAGGTCAATATTTTTATAAACCAAAGAAATATAATCATCAAATTTTCTCAAGCTGTCCGGCTTCATTTATACATCGGTAAATTTTAAGAATAAATTTAAATTAATTAGTTTTGATTGATAAAAGGCTGGTGTAAAATAGTTTTACATTTTTTTGCGTTTTAAATCATTTTCAAAATTTGTATTTTGATCAGTACATCGTTAAATTGAAAAAAAAGCAGTTTAAATATATAGGTAAATTGTTTCCTTTTTTCCTTTACGATTGAATAATCATTTTCAAAATTTGTATTTTGATCAGTACATCGTTAAATTGAAAAAAAAGCAGTTTAAATATATAGGTAAATTGTTTCCTTTTTTCCTTTACGATTGAATTAATTAATAACTTACACGTAGATCAATTAAAAACTTAACATGTTTGTTGTTCCGACTCTTTACATGTAGCTTTTGATGTTCATTCTCATTAAAATTAAATCAAAAACAATAAAGCCATTAATCCAAGTTGTTACTTTATCATTAGTTTCACAAGTGAAACATATTTTAAGTTAATTGCTTGTGTAATTTGTTTTAAAAGACAACTAAACTGTTTAATTGCCTGACAAACGGCTATTGTCTGGACAGAATTCAATGATTGAAAATATTTCAAAGAAATGAAAATAATGATAAATAGTTGTAATTAAACAGCAATTCATTTAATAATTGTGTTCGATATAACGTCAATAACAGCAATGAAGATACCAGTACACATATCTTACGGAACACCTTTGTTTCTGTTTCAACATATGCCATTAACTTCTAAAATCAATTTCAATGGCAATCATATCACATCTCCTTTTATTTAGATAAAACATTTCATGACGAAACATTGAATTACAGCTTTTTTTACCACGAGAGATTTGTATGTTTAATTGTGTGCATATTCAATGTGCATTTACTCCATATTCTATTGAGAATTTTGTATCGACTTATTCAAGACGCAACATGGTATTGAATCTTGTTAAAAAAAGCTTAAAGATGTCGCCTTATTTGTATGTGTTTACTTGTTGATAACGGTTATTTGAAAGTCCATCCTTCTAAAGCATATCCAATTAATTTTTGGAAGCCTATGAATATACCTATTGTGACTATTTTTTTAACGCTTAATTAAATATCATTAGCATTTGTCTGATAATGTTAAATTCTTATGCCAACATTAAAAATCATGGCTTCCTTCTCGAGTGAATATTAGCATGAGTCTCTTTCAACTGGTGTTTGTGCGAAGACAACTATTTATAACTATAAAAACAATTGCAGATTATTATTTTTCACATACTGAGAATTGAAATATTGATTACAGCTAAACCCTGCACACATAGCGTACTGAAATCTATTAAAGTATCCATATTGCCCTATTTAACCAATGATAGGTCTATACAAAATATCAACTGCTGAAGACATTATACTGCTGTCATACAAGAAAAAAATCAAGACTACTTTCCAACTGTTTGGCACTGAATGACTATCCACCAAACAATATGTCATGACGACCCAATACTGTATTTTGTTCTGTTTATTCCATATTAGCACATGTGGTATCATTTAACTGTTTTCTTTCTTATGAAAATTTATTTTTGGATGTCTTCATGCTTGTTCTGTTCATACATGTCCAGAGTACATCTTCTTGTGGTTTGAAAAAAACAAACAATTTAACACTCAACAAATATGCAGGTATACTTAGGAGTGACTGAACACATTATTGACATGTAACTGATGCCAATATAACTTGTTTTCTTACTTGTTAGTGTTTCAGCTAAGAAGAAAGACAAATTTGTGTGCAAGAATAGTTTTATTCATATTTTTTGAACAAAATGTAACAATTACACATCTGAAAGACTAGTAATTCAATACAGCAAGATCAAATGTATAAACTAGTGCAGTCACATGTAAAAATACCCTGGCAAATTAAGAAATAATTATTATCAATGATCATATGATACACTTTTATAAACTCAGCAATACAAAAAAAAAACACCACGTTTTTCCTTACGAATAAGTTGAACTTCAAAATTTATTGTGTCAAAAATATTAACTAGTTATAAATCTATAAATTTTTTTTGTTTTTGTTTTTCAATTCAAATTTTTTTTTTAACTTCATAGAAAATAATAAGTGTGTGACTTTGTTGATAAGTATAAAATATATGAGCTAGAGTTTGAAAATGTTTCTAAATACATAATAAGAAATAAAGATGTTACGACATTATTCACTTAAAATAAGTACAAGTTAGCCTTATCTGTATGCCAAATTTTATACTTATCCTTTTACTTTGTTTTGGCTGGGCATTAATTTCATTTTTAAGAGATCACTTAAATTTATTTGTAATTATGTACAGGTTCAATCGATGAGCAACACTCAAAATAAAATTTATTTATATATATATATATTGTATGTACAGATTGTACTGACAAATAGTTAAAATTCTCTGAGACTTTAAGACTTAGAATAAAAAAAAATTCTATGTACACGAAATCTGGTGGTATTCCATTTTCCTATAGAAACAGCCATACTTCTGGCCAAGTATCATGGGTAAGAAGGAATACACATGTACAAAAAATTATTAAAGATAACTACAAGAAAAACCTATCTTACTAAATAGCTTTAAGAATTTGAGATTTTCCTTTAATCACTTTAACCTTACATTCCAATATAAAATAACAAATAAATAACTACTCATATCTAAACATATCATGAATACTGTATATTCAGAAATTATTGCGATGTTTTTATTATTGCGAAAAATGCGACAGGGTTATCATCGCAATAATTAAAACTCGCATTTTAAAAATTTATTTTTGAATCAAACAGGAAATTTCTGAATATCGCAAAAATTAAAATTAGTCTAAAATGACAAAATCGCAATAAAAAAATGCACGCAATAATTTCTGAATTCACAGTATTCAGACAGTTATATGTGTAAATATGGACAGAATATTCTATTTCATGTAAATATATTGACCTTTTCAGTCTGAAATAAAGATTCTCATGGTATTTTTAAGAAAAGGAGCTTTTATTTAACATTAATACGCATTGGTATCAAGGAAGTAAAATTTTAACAGCAGTTTTGGAGAAATTTAAAACATTGTCTATATACATAAAGTAAGAAAAGAAAACTGATCAATTACAAGCTAGATACATGTACTGACATAATGAAGTCGATCATTATCTCTCCCAACAATCTGAGGAGCACTGACATCTTTCAACATAACAGCTTTCTGTGAGGTTTTACTCTCTAACACACTCCAGAATCCATCTTCATATCTAACATCATCAAATATATCCAGTAAAACCCATGTGTATGTTTGTCCTCTCTAAACATGCTCAAAAATCTTACAAATTGAACCAAATATCATACTGTCAAGAAATGAATCAGTTGAATGTTGATCTACAGCATACACGTATGAATTTGAAGATTTGTTATTGGAATAAGGTGAAAATTTGATTTTCCTGCCAGTGTTTCCATATATAGTGTTTCCATAGGATCTTGTGCATGAAGCAAGTTCCTTGCCTTCCTTTCTCATTCTTGAAATCAAACAAAAGTCATAAATATTGGCCATTTCCCTCAAAATGTTATCATCAATAGAGAATTTTTTCTCATTTGTACTACAACTGTCATCTTTTTCATCTTCTAAAAGAAGTCTCTCCAGTTTACCAATGTCAATATCATCTTGTTTGACCTTTCCAGACATTATCATGTAGACACACCAATCGTAAATCTAAAAAATAAAAAATGACCATGAGAAACAATTTAAATAAACTGCTTCGCTGAGCACAGCTAGATATGCCCGCAGAGGTCCAACCCTGAACAGTTGGGGCAAAAATGGACACAATATTCAAGCTTGATACAGGTCTGAATTTGGATTGTAATTAAATATTTGACATATTATAGGTTTCTGAATAAATGTAGTCAAAGAACTTGAAATTGGTTATATGAATTGAATTTATCTTCAATTAAAGATTTCTTGCTGTTGTGCAATACTAAGTAAATCTGTTGTCAGATTAAAATCACATAAAGTTCAATTTATTCTCAATGAAAATGAAAATCAATAGAGAGATTACATCAATAGCTATAAATAATTCACCAAAGTTTCATGAGAACTGCTGAAAGCATTTTTGAGTTATTGTCCAAAAACTGGAAAATCCCCCCTTTTTTTAATAAATAAAACCCCATAACTCAGAAATGTAAAATTTAAAATTTATAAAATTCTAAAGGGGGCTTACATCAACAGATATAAACAATTGACCAAAGTTTCAGGAGAACTGCTGAAAGCATTTTTGAGTTATTGTCGGAAAACTGGAAAATCCCTCCTTTTTTAATGAATAAAACCCCAAAACTCAGAAATGATAAATCTGAAATTTATAAAAAAACGAAAGGGAGCTCACGTCAATAGATATAAACAATTCACCAAAGTTTCATGCATATTGGTTAAAGCTTTTTGAGTTCATGTCCGACATGTTGACGACGGACGGTCAACAGTATACCATAATACGTCCCGAAAACGGGCGTATAAAAATGGATATTTCATTTAAGGTTTAACATGCAAGAACTGAACGGGTCCACTGGATTTCTGATATTAAATATAAAATAAGATTATACATTCATATAATCGTTTTCCAAATCAAAAACAGTCAAAATCAAACTTGTCGCCTAAAACAAAATTCGAAAAGGTTTTGGTTTTCCATTGCTTTATGACTGTCATGACAGTACATTTAATGAAAAAAAGGGTAGGAAAATTACTTCTTAAAAATATAACCATGAAATAAAATCTAGCTTAAGAATGTTCCTTGCTTTTGAATTTTTGCCCGTTATTCTGAATCCTCTGCTTTTACTGATGTAGTGAGTGCCATTGACACATTCTGTTACCAAACCCTTTCTTTTCTTTTTATATCTTTTTACAACATATAGTTTAAGAGGCCTTATTTAAAAATCCGTTATTCTTATAGTTTTTGAAAGAAAAATTGATGCCTATGTTAAATGTATAAAAAATCTAGAGGGATTCACTTCCCGCCAAATTTTCAACGGCTTATATCTTGAAAACAATCACAAAGACCCTACATTTTTTCATGTTTTCTTTTAGTTCCTTCATTCATATACTTTATAATTTATAATAATCTTGTTAATTTCAAATCCTTAAACAGAAAAATTGACATGAAAATCTTGTGACAAAAATTTTCACTTTCATATAAAGAATACTTGGGTAATGATCTGGTGTTGGGACTGAAATATAATTATTGAGTTGTCTAATATGGCATATACTTACAGCATAAGTCTCCATGATTATTGCTTCAATCTTGTTTTTATTTAAAGCTTGACGGGTTATCCAACTGTTTACTCTTTCAAATGGAAACAACCACCTCCCATAAAGAGGACCAAAATTTGCAAATCCTTCTGGTATATGATGAAGTAGATGTGTTGTAATAGTCTATAACATAAACAAAATACAATGTATCAGTAATGGTTAAAATAAATATGACATACACTTTAGCAAACCACAGAACACTGCAAATACCAATACCACAAATCACAATTCGAAAGAAAAAAAAAATGAAGCTGCTGCTTAAATTTTGGTAAATGACTTTAATATAAAGAGCTAATTAAGTTGTATATGAATAGAAAAATGGGTGTTATGGGGCAAAATATTTTACCCTGTATTGTTGGGAAAAAATTCAAGGAGTTCCAAGATCCGACACAAATTCCTAAACCTCACATTAGTACATACATCCTTAATAATATGACTCATCAGTGTATCATGTATTTACCTGTTTTATCAGTTGAATTCATTGATATTAATAATGCCTTGGAGCCTTTTATATCTTACAACACAGGTTTTTCTCATTGTTGAAGGTTGTGTAGTAATCAATAGTTGCATCAATCTCCCTAATTTGAACTTTAGATGTTAGTTACAGTAAGTCACCTCATAGACAAACTTACCAAAGTTCTTATTATCAGTTTAATGTGAAAACGATTCATATTTTTTTATGACTGAAACTATTTAATTAGCAAAGCAGTGATACATATATTTTAACACGTCAGAGAACTCACTGGTTTAAACTAGAATGTTAACTACAGAATACTTCAATGTGTATTAAAATCTAACTTGTTATTGTCAATCTTTTTATTGAATATGTAAATTTCTAAATTATACAACTAAAAAGTTTTATCTTTACTTTTTGAACTCCATATTACATTTGTACTTTCAAAGCTAACACAGCCAATTTTGACATTTATCTTTTTGTGAAGATAAAACTAAATGCACATCCTGATTAAGTTTGTCTCATACCTGTAATGCAATAGGGAAATCTCTTTCCACCAATGAAACAGCTTCACTTGTAGATTCAATAATGTATTCCTATTCGTTTTCATGATAAGATTCACTGGTCAGCAACTCAATCACATTAAAAAGCTTCCCTAATGTTGTCTCCTGTTTAGTGGGCAATAGTCCTCGTAGACACCAAAGTGCAGCTCCACTGGTTACAAACTGAAAATGTCAAATAAACGGTCAAATACTTCAGAGGGTCTATTGTTTTGTGTGGTGCATGGCATGCATACATTGTACATGTGGGTACAAAAAATACTCAAAAAATTTACTTTTATATAAAAAATTGGAAGAATGCAGTGTAATTATCAAACTGTCAAATTGAAAACAAAATTCACAAATTGTACAACAGTATTACAGCATCAACTACCTACATACATGACATGTATACTTGAAATCTTGTGGCAGCATTTTTAAAATTAAACATCCAACAAATATTTATAATTGTCTGATTTTTTAAAATTGCGATGAAGACCATTACAAACAAGCATTCAGTGAGTATTGCATGGCAATACATAGTCCCCTACCTGTTAAAAATTCATTGTATTGGAACAAAATTCTAACTTGATCTATAACTTGTCATGGTGTAAACAATATACCAAGGACCATAGCTCTGCACAAAATCACCAGACTGGACCAATATTAAAACTTGACCTGTAACTTAAAAAAAGATGTGGTATGATTGCCAATGAGACAACTCTCCACAAGAGACCAAATGACACAGAAATTAACAACTATAGGTCACTGTACGGCCTTCAACAATGAACAAGCAAAGTCCATACCGCATAGGTCCAATCCATGTGCAAAAATTACTTGCTAACTTAATTTAATTAGTTTTACCTGAGCCACGCTTATCTCAGCCTTATCAGACTATGTTATCAGATAATAGCGTAAATGATCATCAAAAAGATAGATATTTTTTGAAGAAAATTAAAAATTTTAAAAACTTCAGTGCAGAAATTGAAGAAAGAGATCGCAAATACATTGTATTTACGCATCTTGTGTGTGATCTTCTTCTTCTTCTATTGCATGGATATCCTTCCATTCATGGAACACCACATACAGCTGTGTATGTGTATTGAAATGTGTCACACAATTTAAAAATTTATTTATACTAATAAATTTAAAATCTAAAAGGACACTTTTAAACAGTATAAATAGGGGAAATTAATTAAAAAATTTATATGTACGAATAAATTTAAAATCTTAAGAGGATACCTTTATTCAGTAAAAGTTAAGCGGGAATAAACTTAAAATCTAAAAGGATACTTTATACAGTATAAGTTAAGCGGGAAAAATACCCTGTCTCTCCCTGTTTATCTGTCTATATACATACATACAAAAATTTGGCAAAGCACTGTTCAGTAGCCACATTATATACAATATCAGTTTATGATCATCTCCTTGTATCCTATATATCTGAGTTATTACTTTAAAAGTCAGATTCTATGTGTATTAAGTTTATAACATAGACTTGCCGAAAGATTATGGATATTGATAATGTTCTCCTTCTTGAATAATGCACAGAAGTGGCTACAGTCGATTACAAGCTGTACAATATCTTGTTTCTTTGAGAAAGTGTTTTCCAAGTTTGTGGCCCAATGATGTTTATTGACCATTTATATAACAAATTTTTTCATTGGTCGAGAAGAAGAATCTATTTTAACACGACCAATGAACGTGTTAAATACACATGATAAATTTGAATACACATTCAGTTGAACGGCAAACGATTTAATGGCGTCTAAGTTCAAGACATTGGTCACGTGATAAAAGGTCAGAGTTTACCGTTTTCTTGTGAACGTGTACACCTCTTGGTTTTTGTCGAGCCTGCGACTTTTGTCGCAGAAAGCTCGACATAGGGATAGCGATCCGGCGGCGGCGGCGGCGGCGGCTACGGCGGCGGCGGCGGCGGCGTTAGCTAACTTCTTAAAAGCTTTATATTTTAGAAGATGGAAGACCTGGATGCTTCATACTTTGTATATGGATGCCTCATGTTACGAAGTTTCCGTCAGTCACATGTCCAATGTCCTTGACCTCATTTTCATGGTTCAGTGACTACTTGAAAAAAAAGTTCAGATTTTTTGTAATGTTAAATTCTCTCTTATTATAAGTAATAGGATAACTATATTTGGTATGTGCGTACCTTGCAAGGTCCTCATGCCCGTCAGACAGTTTTCACTTGACCTCGACCTCATTTCATGGATCAGTGAACAAGGTTAAGTTTTCGTGGTCAAGTCCATATCTCAGATACTATAAGCAATAGGTCTAGTATATTCGGTGTATGGAAGGACTGTAAGGTGTACATGTCCAACTGGCAGGTGTCATCTGACCTTGACCTCATTTTCATGGTTCAGTGGTTATAGTTAAGTTTTTGTGTTTTGGTCTGTTTTTCTTATACTGTATGCAATAGGTCTACTATATTTGGTGTATGGAATGATTGTAAGGTGTACATGTCTAGCTGGCAGGTGTCATCTGACCTTGACCTCATTTTCATGGTTCAGTGGTCAAAGTTAAGTTTTTGAGTTTTGGTCTTTTTTTCTAATACTGCATGCAATAGGTCAGCTATATTCGGTGTATGGAATGATTGTAAGGTGTACATGTCTAGCTGGCAGGTGTCATCTTACCTTGACCTCATTTTCATGGTTCAGTGGTCAAAGTAAAGTTTTTGAGTTTTGGTCTTTTTTTCTAATACTATATGCAAAAGTTCAACTATATTTGGTGTATGGAAATATTTTATGATCTATATGTCAGTCACACAGGTTTTATTTGACCTTGACCTCATTTTCAAGGTTCATTGCTCAGTGTTAAGTTTTTGTGTTTTCGTCTGTTTTTCTTAAACTATAAGCAATAGGTCAACTATATTTGTTGTATGGAAGAATTGTTAGCTGTACATGCCTGCCTAGCATGGTTCATCTGACCTTGACCTCATTTTCATGGTTCATTGGTCAATGTTTAGTTTACTTGGTTAATGTTAAGTTTATGTGACAGTTGTAATAAAGCTTTATATTTAGGACTATCAACATAATATCAATGATTAGTAAAGAAGGCGAGACATTTCAGCGTGTGCACTCTTGTTTACCTCGTATCGTCTAATTGTAACTCGTACATAAATAAAACTTGTAGGTTCCAAATCTTGAGTGAATAAGCTTCATTATTATGTATACTTATTTATGAAAGGTGTTATAAAAGTATTTTAAAACAACGATGGAAGTTGAAATTTTTTTTGGAAAATTTGCGTAGGTCTACGGAAAATCCCAAATCATTTCTTAAATGGGTTTGGTAACGTATGGAGGGGTATAAAATATGAAGTAAAACCATTTTCTGGATTTTATATATTAATTATAGATCATAAATTCCCCGGATACGCAATTGTGTCAGCTTATTCGTGGCGAAGCGGAGATCAACGGGAGATAACTCCGTACACGCGTCGTAGGAAACTGCAAGTTCACAACAGTAAATTCGAGTAAAATTAATGATTGTAGTTATATTTCGACACTTTCTTGAATAACCATTCAATAATTAATGTTCCTCTACTCTTGTAACATTAAAATAGTCATGGAATGTTTGAATATGGCATTTTTTCAAGTACCCTAAAACAGATTTTTGAAAACTTCCAAAGAAGAAAATTATAGATAACTGACTTTTCTCTGAAACTTGGACTTATTTGTATATTCTCAAACACCCTTTTGGTAGATGGAATGATACAAGTCTTTGTTTTACTTTCTTTGTATCAATATTCTTAGAAAGGATATGAAAATAAACTCAGTGTTTGTACATGTTGGTTGTTTAGAACAGTTTGTTTAATATATTAAAATTTCACTCTAAAATTAGACTTGAATTTTTATATTTAAATAAGTATCTAACTTAGAAAGTTGTTAATCTGGTGCACTGAAAATTTTCCATCAGAAATGAGATTTAACAAAGTTATTTAGACTGAAGAACTTGTCACTTTTTATGCTGATCATATGGGGAAAAAAGAGTGATATTATAAATTCTAACACAGCATCAATTGTGAAACAATAGTTCTTTCCTACAGACATTTTATTTTTCAAGATGCGAGGCTTGCCGATCAATTTACATATTTAAGATTTCACTGTTAAGAGTGGAAAAAATAACTTATTGACAGAGATTCTGTATGGGAATGTTTCTCTTGATATTTTTAAATACATTTATGTTACCAACTACATTGTATCTTTGTTTTTCTACTATGATCTGCAAAGAGATGGGTTCTTTATGTGTGACCTCAATGATCGTCAAGCATGATTATTGGTAGCCTTTATTCCTGATGTAACAATGGAAAATTCTGAGAAAAGCAAGAACTTTTAAGCAGATCCAGGTCTTTTATAAAGAGAGGGTGGATTATTCCTAATTTCCATATACAGAATAAACATATTTCATTTCATGCCAAATAATTACATACAAGAGGGGTTTATCAGCCATTTGTCAGCAGAACTTGTGTTACAATAGAATTTAACTTTGCATTACATTAAAATACAATATGGAAAAAAAGAAAATGTAGACAATACATGCCCCCCTCCTCTTTGAAAATTGGCTTGATCCACCCCCGAGATAAGAAACTATATAAGATGTACAAGTTCCGTTGCTTGCTCTTAATCAAGAGAAATAATCTGAACATCCAAAAAGCCAGAAAGGGATTTAAAACATTATAATCAACACAAAGAAAACTGAACAAAAAACTGTATTGCAATCTGATATCATGCAGTTCTCATAATTCCTATTACATGTATTACTTCAAGTTTTGATTTTTTTTTCCTTATATTTGAATTCATAAGTCTTACAAACAACTGTTGAGTCCTTTAATTAAATTATTGATTTAATAATGAATGATTAGCTAAGCTGGTCTGTAAATAAAGTCTGAAAATGCTTTGTTTAAATAAAAGAGTGTTATTATGTCATAAAATATACTGAATCAACTTCAAATTTAATCCAAATTCATATTTAACTGCTCTAAAATGCATAGTCAATTGAACTACAAAACAAAAACTTGAGACTACTATAACAATTAACATAGAGATTGGTCACTTCCCATGTTATAGTAGTCTCAGACAAAAACAAAGCTGACTTAAATACATGTACAGTATGTTCAGAAATTTTTTGAAGAATGGACAACAATGAGATATTTATTTTTCTGATATCAGAAAAAATCTCATAGTATCAAATCAGAATGAGAGTTCTTATTATTGAGATAATCAATTTAATCGCATTATTTACTTTAATAAAAACCTCATGATAATATCTGAATTTACAGTCATGACTTAGCTTGTCAACCTCTACACTTAAAAATTTAAGGTTCCTAGGCCTAAATGTGGTTGAAATACAGACAATTTTGGTAACTTTTACAAAAAATCTCTTTTTTATGACATACCTTACAATTTCAGAATAAGCTGCATTAAGTTATATATGTATCACATATAAGAATGCTAGTTTGTATTTTAATATCATGATTATCATGATTATTGCAATAAGTTGTTATTATTCAATTAATTAAAAAAAACATCAATTATTTTTGAATTGATAGATCTGGAACTAGTACATACATTTGTTTTTTTAAACATCTATATACTATTCATTAGGGAACTTATTCAAATATATTTTGTACAAGATAGTCATGGCAGTTCACAATTACAGTGGTCATTATAAACATAATGACACAATTTATACAACCAAATTTTATTGTTGATATATGTAAACTGAAATCATTGCAGAATTTTTCTTTCAAATGATTTAATGTTTGTTAGTCATTTACTTTAAATACTTAACCTGTACTAAAATAAAGAGATGTGGTATGATTGCCAATGAGATAACAATATAGACACTATCCACCAGAGTCCAAATGTCTGTTAGCAGTTAAATTATAAGTCACTTTACAGACATCAACAATGAACACATTTCATTGTTATCAGGCAGATGAGGAAAAAGAGTAATGATAGCTTTTTAGCTTACTACATGTACAAGAGAATATAAGAAATATAATAATATAAATAAGAAAATTATAGAGACAAAAAAGACAGGACTTAGCCACTGGACTAAAATGTAAAGTGTTCCCTTACTAATCATTAAAGGAGCTGCTGTATACTTAGAAAAAAGGATGTTGAGGACTTGGCCACATCAATCAGCATTTTTAGACATTACATTATGGTCAATTGCAATCTGCCCTATTTGCTCCAACCTCTAATGAGTATTAAAATTAATACCTAGGGTGGGAATTAAACCCATGTATGTTCATTTACTCTATGTACATACATGTACATGAAATATATCAAATGCAAAAAAATGCTGGAATGTAAATATGGTAATTTACATCATGTACATTATTACAGCCTCTTTTTTTAAGGACCTAGTAAAGGAGGTCCCTGGACCTAGCTAGACCTATTTCTTAGGCAAGGTGTATTATATAACTCTTGAAAGTAGTTAAATGCAATTGTAAAATTAATTTTATCTGCTGTTAAACAATAATAACACGATAATGGTTATTTCTAAGTATTTAGTAACAACAGCGTGCAATTTAGGTAAACAAACATCAATGAATAATCTACCACGTGTTTGTCTGCTGTGCTTGAATATTCAAAACGACCCATCGGTTTTATTTACACGAATTTTTGCTAAAGCAGACAGTTCAACATGTCTGTTTACCTAATAAGTTCTATAAAAAATGCATTTGCTGTTATGACTTGTGTATGCATGGAAATATAATGAACATAGCATTGATTATTTACCGTAAATATTGAATACACATCATTCCTGAGCTATACACACAAAACACATGGCACTTTTGTAACGATGGATGGTAACG